GTCGAATTTGCTCTCTTCAACGCCGCATAAAGCTCAAATAATATTCTTTATTTACCGTTAGACCTTCCGGTAAGAATTCAGAGTGCACAACAGCGCGATAGTCAAAGAAAACAGTCAACATGACTTTGACTTTTGATCGACTTCGGCGTGGTTTTTTCGGTTTCGCTTCAGTTGGAAGGCGCCACTCCGAAGCTTGTTGACTAGTTTGCATGCCAAACTCATAAACCCACGTCTCGTCACCAGTAACAATGCGTTTCATGAATGTTGGGTCCGAGCTGAATCGTTCTAGCATATCCTCAGCGACTTTCATGCGATTGAGATTTTGGAGAAAATTTAGATCTTTTGGAACTAGCCGAGCAGCAACATGTTTCATACCCTTTAATGTATAGTATAGATTAGTTAAAATGGTACGCATCGACTCGTGAGATACAGAAAGTTCGGCGGCAATCTCTCTCAGAGTTGAATGGGGATTTTCAGTCACTATTTCCTTCACTTTTGCGATGTTAACTACAGTTGCAGATCAGAGCGAGGCAAATCTTCCATCACATCTCGACCGCTTTTGAACGGTTTGAACCACTCATAAGCACGAGTTTTTGATAAAGTCATTCATTTACCGTAAGCTTTCTGTAACATTTTCAGTGACTCCGAACAGAAATTCCATTGGCGATGCAAAATTTAAGACAAACTCTTTGATCGATATTTGTGTCCATTATAAAATTCATAATATACATTATATATGATATTTCGGAACCAGCCCAACAGATGCAACTCAAACTCCGCGCCAAAATGGAAAACAGTTGTGCCAATCTAACAACTACATAAAAACAAAAATTTGAATTTGGAACCATAAACAAATCATCCATTCCCGATACTTTTTTGAGTGAATGTAGGTATAAGCGCATTACAAAGTACCTATTTATTTAGTTCTGAAAATAAAAAATAGAATACGATCATTATAAATGAAAATACCCGCCTATTGGGTTTTTTCCCACATAAAAACCGGGTTTTTTCCCAAATGGGAAAAAACCTGGGTTTTTTCCCCTTGGGTTTTTTCCCAGTGCCCATCTCTAGTCTATAATGACGGTACTCAACGAGTTAATTGTGTCCATAATGACGGTACTAAACGAGTTAATTTACCAAATATTTGAAATTATTAACAATATTTAAATCTTATTTTTTCCTTTTCGTGGTCGCAAGTGTGACTGCCGGGCAAGGGGTCTCGGGTTTGATTCCCAGTTTTTAAAATCTCAGTAGTAGCACGGAGTCTGGAAAGGTGCCCGGTATATGGCAATAGGCTCACCCCCTATTACATGGGACTCATAACATAGTGAAAAGTGAATGTTACATAGTACAGTGGCATTAAGTGCCGAAATATGTACCTCTGCCTACCCTTTCGGGGATAAAAGGCGTGATGTTATGTTACGTTATTTTTTAGCATCAAGCAGTATACTTATTTCTTAAAAATTTGCAAAAAAAAATACTAAAATTAAGTTGGTGATAAAATCAATTAATGTGTTCATCATAAAATCAATGAATAATTTGGTGTGATCATTTTTTGAATATTTAATGTATTGAACAGTCAAAATAATTTATTCTTGAATAAGGAAAGTACCCAATTATGTAGTAATAATGAAGCTCCACAGCAGTAACATAAGATAGACCAGCACAAGGAAGCTTTCACAATAAATTTATTTTTACTTATTGAGTCGAATTGAATAGAGTGTAGTGTAAATATAGTTCCTAAAAGACATTATTGCATCACAAATTTCAGAGAGTATAATTGTAGAAGTGAGTTTTACATCAGGAATCCTTCGAGGCAGAGTTCATACTATACCTTACAGTCTCCCTATCTTCCATTTTATATATCTTCCATTTAGGTATATAACAATAAAAGATTAGAAAGACAATATAACATACCTTTTCGTTTCGCTAATTGTTCTTCAATATATTTCATCATTTCCTCGTCTTCGTCACGTTTGTTAGTTTCGGCAGAAAACTGCGTACCGATGCCAGTATCGTATGCATCATCAACTTGCTTAACTTTACCACTCTTTAATGCCTGCATATTCACCATACCACCAGATTTGACCTTAAATGGGTCCTTACAAGTAATTTCTTCCTCAATCGTTGTCTTTTGACCCGTAGCCAAAGCAATCACACTAACACCGTTGGGCCGTTCTCGAAGTTTCTGTAACACCTTGGTTTCTTCCAATTTAGCCAAGATGTGTTGTTCGTCCTCAGAATCATCATCATCTTTGATACGCTGACGAAGGTTATGTTTCTTTCTTGGTTTAAACTTTATTTCCTCTGTTATTGTTTCCTGAGAAGTTGCGTCCTCCATATTTTTGTTGACAAACTATTGAAATAAGAAATACCATGAAATTGGCACAAAGGTTGTGTTTGGTGAACTTTGGTGTGTGTTGTTGTGACGACGAAGACGCTAGACGATCAGCGTTAATCTGATCTAGTCTGAGAGAAGACAATTGATGAATAAGTAGAACGACCGAACCAACATCTATCGTATAATGTCCATCATCACTTTAATAAATCAGTAACATTTTAAAGTATAGAAGTGCAAAGTTTTATTGCAAACAAAGCAACGCGAACAATTTGTAAAAGACGTAGGTACTACCGTAGACAACCCTTATACTTATTAAACTCTTTGCCGTAGACGATGTATGTGGTGGAAAATTTATATATCTGTGGGTGGAAACCAAAGAGAAAATTGTGCTTAGAGTGACTGAGTGAGGAAGAGACGACAATGCTATTTGTTTTTTCTCTGCCTGGCAACAATTGCAATTTTATGTCATAGCATCTAGCTTGTGCGCTCGCGTATTGTATAATGAATCCAACAACATCTATCCATAATGTGCTATACGAAAAACGAAGTTATAGGAATACCATGCTATTACGAATCGAAAAGACAAAATCTATTCTGTTCGTTTTTAACTTAGAAAAGTAAAAACAATCAATGGATTTTAGTAATTACCCGAAATGGCAACATTTTGAGTCATACGTCATATTGGGTCCACACATCCATGTCTATGGGCTCCGTGGCGTTTAGTTTCCGTGTTTTTGTTGTAGGTACATTAAACGTCGAATTCATAAATTGGATATTGTATTTACGGAGTGTTCTAAGACTTGCGAGAGTTTTAATAGAATTAAAAGTCACTTTGCTATACTCTGATAATGCCTAAAAAGTGTTGTATTAAAGGCTGTGGCATGAAATATGACAAAGCATCTGGTATATCTCTTCACAAGTAAGTCATATTTATTTACAAAAAATGTTTTGCTGTGTTGTTTATAGACCTTTGTAGCATAAAATATTGACTTCTGTGATAAATTATTGATGATGATAAACTGCATCGAGAATTTCGTATACCGTAAAATTTTGCAACTTTGCACGGATTTTGACGTTTTAGGCAAAGTTAAGGTCCGTCTGGTAGATTATTTTAAATCATTGGATACGTATTTTTTATTTTCTTATGTAATCGAATACTTTCGACGATATATTGACTTGAAATGTCGTGTGACGACACTTCCACTCCTGTTGCGGAGAACCTAACTCGTCCTGTCATCATCCTCATCATCAACCTGTCATCATCCCAATTGTTAGGTAGACACCTACAGTAGGTACATGAATTCTTTGGGTAGACAAAGAGTATAATAAGTATAGGGGAAGACAACAACATTTGATTTAGGTTGTAAACTGTTGTGAATTTTAAATATAAATATTAGTTGTAGTTTAATGAGTATAGGGGAAGTATCAATCAAAATGGAGGGTTTGAATAGCCGATTTTGACAATAGCAAATTCTATTCCTAGCAAAATAAAATTAGTGACCCATAATACAACAACAGCAATTAAACTGTCAAACACCAAGCGGTCACCGGTGACCGCAACCTATTGTTCTATAATTGTGTCTACAAAACCGGTACTCGACAAGTTAATTATGCAGTAGATGCAATGGATATTTACTTAAGTCGTTGATTTGTATTATTATTAACTGCATGACACTCAAACAATTTTCCTTGTTTTATTTTCATAGGTTTCCGCAGAATGAAGAACTGTGCCAGAAGTGGCTTGAACGTATTGGGTTCGAAAATATGAATCCTGAACTTAAAGTACCAAAAGTCTGTTCACGACACTTTCCAGAATCAGACTTCAATAGAACCCTTGGTGTAATAAGGCTGCGCGATGATGTAGTACCATCGATCCACCTTGTAGTAAGTTAAAACCAAGTTAACTTTACATAATTGGGATGATGACAGGGTATGAAAATTAAAAATATAATTAGTCCGTAAATTAGGTAATGAAAAAATATTAGACACGTATTTTTTATTTTGTCGTATAATAAAATAATTATTAGATAAAACGAATCAGTTTAGGAGTGGGAGCTAAAACGTCATTTCTACGTATAAAATGTACATAGAAGTGAAGTCACGCAAGATTTCAAATCAATATATCGTCGAAAGTATTCGATTCTGTAAGAAAATAAAAAATACGTGTCTAATGATTTAATATAATCAAACAGACGGACATTAAAATAAAAATTAGGCATCTACCTTATTATATTGTGTAAATATTCCTTGTAACCTATCATTTCATCTTGAATTTTACTTAATATTGAAGTATTTTTAAATTATGTCATTAATTAAAAAAATACTTTCAGCCTTCAAAGAAAACACATGAGCCAGCTCTATATGAAATTGAAACTGTTAACGAAGATGCAGTCTCCACGAGTTCCATTGAGTCACAACCAACCTTGCCAGTGGAGCACATATATATAAGATCTGAAAAGGTAACTAAAATAAAATTAGGTTGTCTACATGATAGGTTCGTCATAAGTTGATCTAATATTATTTTTATTACGAAATTTAGAAGTTTGGAAAAGTTTTTTTTTGTATCATTAATAAAGAGGATAGGTAAGAAAAAAAAGGAAACAATATATTTAAAAATTGAGAAACACAAATTTTACGTATCAATGTGAATGTACACTGTACAGCATGTCTACCCAGCGCACGGGTCATTATTATTTTTTTTTTTTTTTAAGGGGGAAAATCATCGAATGACTGCTCCCGCCTGGGTGAGGCGGGAGGGAGTGTCAGACTCTTACTGACTATAAACCACCCCGTTCCTTCTCCTGCACGTCGAGTCGGAGCCCCGGTTACCCGTTAGGTTCTCCGCGACTCCGAATCGGCATCGGCCGTATTGGGCCCCATCTGTGGTGGTCTGATGGCTCTTTGAGGCGCGCGCGGAACGCGACGCGCCGTACGCTCGGGTCTGTTTCTGGTCGGACGGGGAGCCACCCATGCTCGCCGTCCGCAGGCCCGCGCTTACGGTGGCCGGAGATCGTCCCGCGATCCCCGACGCCCGGTGTGTCCTTCGCGATGGCTGGGTTGCGAGGAGGCAGCGCTTCGCTGCCTCACGCGTCCCGCCTCCTCCTTAGCTAGCATGACTGCTTCGCAAAAGGAGGAGACGGCATCCCAATCCCCCTCGCTCCGCATCATGGCCTGCACTAGGCCCGGACGCGAGAGGTCGCCATCGCCGATCACTTCCCTGAGGACACGGCGGTGCTCAGCCCACGAAGGGCATTCTCCCACCGTGTGTTCCACCGTGTCCTCAGGGCGGTCCTCGCAGTGATGACACCCGGGCGTTTCCTCCCGCCCCATCAGACACAGGTACCTCCCGAAACTTCCATGTCCGGTGAGGACCTGCGTCAGGCGGTAGGTGAGGACGCCGTAGCGTCTCTCAAGCCACTCCTCAAAGAGGGGACTTACCGCTGCAATGGCAGCGAGCCCAGCCCCCGGTTGCGACAGTCGTTGCTGCCATTCCGCCATGAGATCGCGCCGGAGCTCATCCCGCCACGCACTTATCTGGCGCGGCAGCGGAGTTTCGCCCCGGCGACGCGATCAAATAGGTAGTATCAAATAAGTGTGGGAGAGCATGCCTCGGCACGCATGGGCTAGCTCGATCGGAGTGATACTACGGTCTCACAGAAATCCGACGTGAAGCAACGCTTGCGTTGTGTTTCGTCGTGTGAGTGAGGTTACCGGAGGCTCAATTACCCTCCCCTTCCCCAATCTCCCCAATCCCTGAATCCCCAACGATCCTAAAACTCCTAATCCCCAAAAAGCCGGTAACGCACTTGTAACGCCTCTGGTGTTTCAGGTGTCCATGGGCGACGCCGATTGCTTACCATCAGGTGATCCGTCCGTTCGTTTACGGGCTTATGCCGTAAAAAAAAATAATGGCACCAGGTGATTTTTTTCTGATAAATGTTGGAACCTTGCCGATCACCTGGTGCCATTTCATCGTCGACTTCAGGGACACCCTGTATAATTCACCAGATTCAACAAGTCGGTAGTGCAAAGCAAATTGCGGATGGATAATATTGATTATGTCTTTGCAAGTATTCGCTATTAGCGAAACGACCACAGCCAGAAATAATATGTCTAATGGATTTACCAGGACTGTGACATACCCTATTATGCATATTGTATACATGTTAACCATCGCATCCTTAATATTAATAATATATTTCCAGTAGTTAGTTATTCGTAAGGATCACTTCACGCATAATTGCACAGACAAGTCCTTCAAAGAAATCATTTATTATTATTCACAAGGCATTCCTTGAAATACCCTGTTATGATTGATACTTCCCCTATACTCATTAAACTACTATTTATATTTTTATTTAAAATTCACAACAGTTTACAACCTAAATCAAATGTTGTTGTCTTCTGCTATACTTATTATACTCTTTGTCTACCCAAAGAATATAAGTACCTACTGTAGGTAGACTCGCGGAGAACCTAACGGGTTACCGGGGCTCCGGCTCGACGTGTAGGAGAAGGAACGGGGTGGTTTTTAGTCAGTAAAAGTCTGACACTCCCTCCCGCCTCACCCAGGCGGGAGCAGTCATTCGATGATTATCCCCCCTTAAAAAAAACTGTAGGTAGACACCTACCTACAGTAGGTACTTATGTTGACAATTGGGATGATGACAGGGTATGAAAATTAAAAATATAATTAGTCCGTAAGTTAGGTAATGAAAAAATATTAGACACGTATTTTTTTTATTTTGTCGTATAATAAAATAATTATTAGATAAAACGAATCAGTTTAGGAGTGGGAGCTAAAACGTCATTTCTACGTATAAAATGTACATAGAAGTGTCGTCATGCGACATTTCAAATCAATACATCGTCGAAAGTATTCGTTTGAAACGCGTTTCTGTAAGAAAATAAAAAATATGTGTCTAATGATTTAAAATTATCAAACAGACGGACATTAAAATAAAAATTAGGCATCTACCTTATTATATTGTGTAAATATTCCTTGTAACCTATCATTTCATCTTGAGTTTTACTTAATATTGAAGTATTTTTAAATTTTGTCATTAATTAAAAAAATACTTTCAGCCTTCAAAGAAAACACATGAGCCAGCTCTATATGAAATTGAAAATGTTAAAGAAGAGGCAGTCTCCACGACTTCCATTGAGTCACAACCAACCTTACCAGTGGATCACATATATATAAGATCTGAAAAGGTAACTAAAATAAAATTTGGTTGTCTACATGATAGGTTTGTCATAAGTTGATATAATATTATTTTTATTATGACATTTAGAAGTTCGGAAAAGCTTTTTTGTATAATTAATAAAGAGGATAGGTAAGAAGGAAAACAAATAATATGTTTAAAATTGAGAAACACTTAAAAAAGTTTATGTACAGCATGTACCTACACTGTACAGCATGTCTACCCAGCGCACAAGTCATTATAATAATATCTAATTTTTATATGAGACAAAATACCGGCGCTCATAACAGGGTATTTCAAGGAATGCCTTGTGAATAAATAAATGATCTCGTTTAAGGACTTGTCTGTGCAATTAAGGGTAAAGTGATCCTCACGAATAACTACTGGAAATATATTATTATTATTATGGATGCGATGGTTAGCATTCTATGTATACATTCAAACAATAAAATACTACATCGCACAAGTACAACCTGAAGGTACTAACAAACAAAGTCGGCAAGCAAAACTATATACATATACAGGTGTCCCAAAACTCAACGATAATCTGAGACCGGATGAAAAGCCAAGTTATACCAGTTCTGGGAAAAATAATAAAAAAATCCATATCACTCAGTTCAGCGATAATAGACAATTTAAATAAAAAGTTGAAATTCGACACCCTTGGTCGCGTTTTCAAGTCCTGTGATCACCAATATTACAATTTCGCAGTGATTTTTTTAATTTTGTGATCTTTATTAAATATGCTGTTAATCGCAACTACAAATTAATGCAAAAACATCGTTAATTTAATAAGTTAAGTTTGAGTGAGTAATCGTTCACAAAAATATTGTTAGTTAACTTTGACACTTCATATTGAAAAAAAATGTACTACACTACCCTTGGCAAGTTATTTCAAAAGATGGCGCATTTAATCAAGATTTTAAAATGGTGCAACACTTGCCACTTTTCTTGCCTTTATAAATTGTATATAAATGCAAGGAATTTTGCACGACTGGTGAAAAGGTCTTTTGTAAGGCGTTGCAGAGCCTGTATTCGTGCCGGAGGAAGACAATTACAACATTTACTTTAGTTTAACTCGTCGAGTACCGGTTTTGTAGACACAATTATAGAACAATAGGTTGCGGTCACCGGTGACCGCTTGGTGTTTGACAGTTTAAGGAGAATAATTAAATAAAAAGTTTTACAATGGTTCGTTCATTGTTTTTTTTTAATTATAATTACATATTATGTTATTTCCAATAAAAATTGGTTATTAACTGACTCAATTACCTCTTTACTAAAAATAATAATTTTATTTCAGACCAGAAACAAAAAATAACAAATTTTACTAACAAAAATTCCTAATGTTGAGTTGTTAAAAATGAGCTCAATTTGAAAAAAATAAGAAATATTTTTTTAAAAGCAAGAAAAGTAGCAAGTGTTGCACCATTTTAAAATCTTGATTAAATGCGCCATCTTTTGAAATAACTTGCCAAGGGTAGTGTAGTACATTTTTTTTTTAATATGAAGTGTCAAAGTTAACTAACAATATTTTTGTGAACGATTACTCACTAAAACTTAACTTATTTTATTAAATTAACGATGTTTTTTGCATTAATTTGTAGTTGCGATTAACAGCATATTTAATAAAGATCACAAAATTAAAAAAATCTCTGCGTAATTGTGACATTGGTGATCACAGGACTTGAAAACGCGACCAAGGGTATCGAATTTCAACTTTTATAAAAAAAATCTATTATCGCTGAACTGAGTGATATGGATTTTTTTATTATTTTTCCCAGTACTGGTATAACTTGGCTTTTCATCCGGTCTCAGATTATCGTTGAGTTTTGGGACACCTGTATATGCATAGTAGTGTATATATGCATAGTAGGGCATGTCATAGTCCTGGTAAATCCATTAGACATATTATGTCTGGTTGTGGTCGTTTCGCTGATAGCGAATACTTGTATAGACATAGGTAATCAATATTATCCATCAGCAACTTGCATTGCACTATAGACTTGTTGAATCTGAGGAATTAAACAGGGTGTCCCTGAAGTCGGCGATCAAATGGCACCAGGTGATTTTTTTTTCTGATAAATGTTGCAACCTTGTCGATCACCTGGTGCCATTTCAACGTCGACCTCAGGGTCACCCTGTATATAGCCCTCTGATTGGTTGGTTCATTGGAACCGGCCAATCAGGCACCAAAAGCGCGCAATACTATTACATTACGAGTGCGATAGTTATTTATGCTTGGCACTCTGATTGGTTGGTTTTCTGGAGCCGGTACCTTAGTACTGAAATTAAGCTTACTTAATTTCCCGCTGTCTGGATGTGCCCATTCATAAAATATTATATTTACAGGTACAGCATCAGCCATCCAACTTGCAAAAGAATGAGAGAATACAAGAAATATGCATTAAGCAGAGAAAAGAGATTAAAAAATTGAGGCAACGAATTCGTCGCCAAGACCAAAAAATCTTAAAAATGGAAAATATTATTAATGATTTAAAAAAAAGGGGTATAATAATCATCTCTTTGGATTGAAGCATTTTACTTTGGTCTCGCACTGAGGTTTGAGCATGAATCGTCACGCTTATTTAAAGCGGATAGACGTTAAAAGTTCAGGTGTCCCCACGATGTTTTTCCATTGTTGTAAACAATCATAGCAAGTACATATAACCTAAAAATAGTCACAATCGTACTTGCCAGGTTTCCAAACCGCACCCTTGTTCATGAGAAGCAGGTACCTTAACCTATATACCACCACAATTTGATTATGGTGAATAAAGATATTTTTTTCAAAATAAGTTGTTATTTTATTCTTTTGTAATAGGTACTTCAGTTTGAATACCTTTCTACAATATTTATTATTATCTATTATAATACCTATTTCCAACTTTGAAATGGTGTGTAGGTACTGTATTTGATTTTGTGACAGCACAATTGATTTCGGTTCACATTTCAAAAACCTCCTCCTTTTTAAAAGTCGGTTAGTATACGAACCACGGAACATACAAAGAAGGTATGTGACACGAACCAGGCTCCTGTGTGTCTTGACTTATAGTCCTATGTCCCCTAGATGGGGCAGAGGGGACCCCAGAGGTTCTCCATCTCGATCGGTCTTGAGGTCCTCGCTTCACCTTGCTCCACGTCATTCCGATGCTCGCAGCTTCTGCTATCACAGCAGGTTTGCCGAGGGCGGCCACGCTTCCTTATTCCCTGGGGATTCCAATCCACCGCTTGCTTGGAAATATGGTCGGAACCCCTTCGGAGCGTATGGCCTATCCATTCCCACTTGCGACGTTTGATCTGACGGTAGATCGGACTTTCGCGGCATCTCTCCAATAGGTCTTCATTGAAGATGGTCTCGGGCCAGAAAATATCGAGAATGCAACGTAAGCATCGGTTGACGAAAACTTGGATTTGGCGGGAGATGTCTTTCGTGACCTTCGACGTCTCGCACCTGTAAAGCAGTACGGATTTGACATTGGACCCTAAGATTCTGAGCTTAATTCTTCGGGTCAGTTTCCGTGACTGCCACACAGGTCTCAGCTGCGCGTAAGTAACTCGGGCTTTGCTTTGCTTTGGCAATCCGTGAGGCGATGTCCTCCTCACTACCTCCAGTTTCTGACACGGCGCTCCCGAGGTAAGTAAACTTGTGGACGCGTTCCACCGCCTCAGTGCCGATCAGCAACGGTGAATTATTCTTCACGCCCGATCCAATATCTTTGGTCCTCCGTGTGTTGATCTTGAGGCCTGTTTTTGCCGCTTCCTGACGCAGATCGTCTAACTTTGCTTGCATGTCGGCGTGGGTATGACTAAGCAGGCAAAGACCGTCGGCATAGTCCAAGTCTTATAGGACGTTGGTAATCGCCATTCTATCCCTCGGAGCCGACCAGGAATAGAAGCGGCGACAGGAGGCAGCCTTGACGGACACCTGCATGCACTGTTATGTCATCCGATATCAGCCCGTCATGGGTTAGTCTACAGGAATATTTCCAATAAATGGTGTAGTTTATTATACGGACCTTGTGGAATCTAGAACGAATTTCCGTGCGTTTAGGCGTTTTTGCCATTCCTATTATTGGAAGCAATTATAACAGCTCACACATAGGACCCACTTAGTTTTTAGTCAAATTTCCGTGGTGGTTGGCGACTGGGCTTAACCCAGTTGTACAGTCTCTTCTTTGTGCCTTTAGGCTTAATTCATTCTGTCTCCTGCAGTAATTCACCGAGGGAAGTGGAAACCATAGTTTTTTCTTCTTCTCTTATAATATCCTCTGATTCACTTCGTTGCGGGAACCAAGACAGTTACTCATGTCCCTGGGACGCGCCGGGCTTCAGTGTTCTGGTGTTTTCATGGTTGTATCTACTGTAGATCCTGGTTTACAGGAGTTGCAGCGGTTTTGGGAGGTGTGGCGGGCTTGTCCCTTAAAAAAAATCTCCTGCTCTCCAATAAACGGACAATCTTCGGCGGCACTCCGATGTCCAGTAGACGAGACCAGATGCTAGACCACTTCAACGTATCAAAGACTTTTTCGAGGCCGACAAAGGTGAGATAAATCTCACGTTGCCATTCCGATGCATGTTCTAATATGATACGAAGAGTGTTGATCTGGTCCGTACATGAGCGGTTCGAGCGGAAACCAGCCTGCTCCCTGCGGAGCTATGGCCTTCGTCAGCCTATCCAGAATGATTTTGCAAAAGACCTAAGCAGGTATCGAGAGCAATGTGATGCCTCTCCATTTGTCACACTAAGGTCTCCTTTCTTTGGCACAGTTATAATAAGACCTTTGTTCTAATCATCTGGGAGCGAGTCCAAATTTTTACAATAAGAGGCGTTAGAACTTTTACGGCGGAGGATAAGTCGGCTTGTAGCATTTCCACCGTGATTAGGTCGAGTCCTGGTGCTTTAGCTGTCTTTAAAGAGCGGACTACTTTAGCCACTTCCGAGGCCTACGGTGGTTCTACATCAATGTCAAGTAGCCGCCGCTGTAAGTAGTAGTGGAATAAATAAATTTGTGCTAATCGCTGTTAGTGAGAGTAGCATTGCCTATAAAATGCCAAGATGCCTTCTGATGTACTCGTGGCGAAGTACCGTATAAAGCAGAGCCCTAGCCAGTCCGCGTTATCCACGTCCCCGTCGTCCTCCCTAAGACCTGCTGCAACCGCGCCGCCACGCGACCGCCACCTCGAGTTGCAGCTGAGCTCACGGATGCAGGGCGCAAGGCGAGTATTCTGTGCCTTGAAACAGAACCAACTCACTAGAGAGGAAACCTGAAACAGAACGGAGCATGTCCGCAGGCTCTGAAGCGGCAGCCCCGCTTGCGGATTAAAGCACAGTGGGCTAATCACCTGCTTGCCCGACAACTTAAGATTCCAGAAACCGAAACTCCTGACCCACGTAACTTACATTAATACCAGTAGCAGCGCGACAGTCGCAAGTCGCGAAATGCTGCTCATGAATTCATATATAATAAAAAAGTGCATCACCAATCTCGTGGGTGACGTCATCCGCTGCGCTGTCGAAATGAGCCGACTCTGGCGCAAGGACGTTAAGTACCTACATATGTAAATATGCATTTCGCTACCGCGAACAATGCCCTTTTTAAAAACAGAGTGGTTCTAACCAAAGTAAATGTATGAAATTCATATTCGTGAGGAACCACTGATATAATAATAGATCTATGTGTGTGTTATATTTATAAATCTATGTGTGAAACCAATAGGCCTCTGGCACACCACGACACACGGGTCCACGCAAATATATTGACAAGTGACAACTTTTTGACACTGACATTTGAATATTATGACACAAATCGTCAAATTTATTGATAAATCGAGTGCAGTGAAGTACAGTCACACACACACGAAACTATATTAAATTTTTGATACAATATTTATCAATTTCGTGAAATTGATATAATTAGTTTTTTTCATATATTATATATACATATAAAGCGGGTAACTACTCTTTTGAGCCGTTTGGGGTCGTAACACTTGGGCCATAGGGTCCCACTGCATGAGTGCACACTCTGTTTGTAAAGATATCGCCCGTAGGCTAATCGACTCTACAGGTGACCAGAGGGCTGGCTATTTCTTCGGACAGAAATTATGCGTTGCCATTCAACGTGGCAATGCTGCCAGTCTCCTGGGAACGTTCCCCTACGATAGTGATGCGGACGAATACCTTAACGCCTAAATTAAGGTAAGGGTATATAATTTTTGTTGTTTCCTTTTTTTACTTTCGTTTTGTTTAATAGTTTAGTTGTAGATAAAAAATATTTTCATATAAAACATTGATTGTACTACAATAGATAAAAGATGATGGTAAGCCCAATAAAATGAAAAAATAGTCAACTTGGTAGATACGTAAAATTCATTTGAAGATCCACTATATTTAAATCTCAAATTCATTACTATAATATTATTCTACAGTCAGTTTGATTTACGCAATTTAAGTTTTGATTTCAATCACAATCACAAAATTATGGATATAGCGTTTGTAAATATCCTATTTGTTTGTTATTACCTATGAGCTTTTTTTAAGGGGGGAAGATCATCGAATGACTGCTTCCGCCTGGGTGAGGCGGGAGGGAGTGTCAGACTCTTACTGACTAAAAACCACCCCGTTCCTTCTTTTGCACGTTGAACCGGAGCCCCGGTAACCCGTTAGGTTCTCCGCGATATTACCTATGGGCTATGTGTTAAATAAATAAGTTGGTTTAATAACTTAACACTTTTATGTTGGAGTGTACCAACCCATAGAACATTGATAAGTAGTGATAAGGAAGAGAATAAACAAAATAAGTTCATTGGCGGTGAATGTTGGTATTAGTACGATAGTTGCACAGTAGGTCCAACATATTTCTTACATCTGTCTTCTATTCAAGTGTATGTAGCAAGTAAAATGTTCGATAAAAACAAAGTACTATTTCTTCAATCGGCACCACCAAAATTTGAAGAAATACAGAAGACTATTTTCAACGACGGTGCCGTGGATTTTATATGGCGAATTCACAAAACGTTCGAGAAGCAAATTGAACAACTTTATAAGGATAGGTTGCAACGCACTGTGATAACGCAAACACTTTCGACTTTGGACTTTAAAAAATCGCCAGAAAGAAATGACAAGTCCTGGACTATCGCTCCCCTACCGCCTAGATTACAGTGAGTACATTCCTTCATTAATTATTATTGGAAACCGGTCTTTGAAACCCTAAATCTTGCCTACATACTTCTGAATTTGGCTAACTATAAATATGTAGTGATTAATTGTATGATATGATTTGGGTATTTGATATACTATGGCATAAATACGTATTTATTATAATATTTTTCGTTTTATATATTTGTTTTGTAGAAATCGCCACTTAGACCTTGGTGATGTCTCAGCATCAAACACGGCTCATTTTGTTTCCTCTCTAAATGAAGATGTGCAAGGCATTCAAGTTGACTTTGATGATGGACACTGCCCTACATGGAAGAATCAATTGCAGGCCTACCAAAACATTAAGTTAGCTGTCTTAGGAAAGCTTCTCGGAGCACCTGTAACTATAACAACTAGCCCTATATTGATGTTAAGACCGAGAGCTTGGAACATGATAGAACATAATATTTTGGTAATTAATTCTTTAATGAACTATCTAGTGATATAATTAGCTTTTCTGATATTCTTATTGAATGATAAACCAGTTATTATTCATTACACATGTGTTTTAGATTGAAGGTAAAGAAGCAATTGGACCCTTGGTTGATTTTGCAGTTTTGATGTATCACAATGGAAAACTACTTTATGAAGCTAACAGTGGGCCTTACTTTTACTTATCCAAGTTAGAGGGTGCTACGGAAGCATCATTGTGGAATGAAATCTTTGTTTGGGCTCAAAATGAACTTGGTCTGCCACTGGGCACAATAAAAGCATGTGTTTTAATTGAGAACATAGTCTCTAGTTTTGAACTAGAAGAAATTTTATATGCATTAAGAGACCATTCACTAGGTCTTAACTGTGGCATATGGGATTACTGTGCCTCTATTATATCCAAGTTTGGTAACTATTACATTTATTTTGCTTTACAATCTTTACAATTGCTTGTTTAAACTGTCAAACACCAAGCGGTCACCGGTGACCGCAACCTATTGTTCTATAATTGTGTCTACAAAACTGGTACTCGACGAGTTAACAGGTTTTCTGCTTTGTCGTTATCAATACTTTACATCTGTGACACATTAAATGTTAATCCTAACAAGTAAATAACTCCAAAGACTATTTGCTCCTTTGGCTCCCATAGGTACTTATCTGCTGTTTATCAAATGGAATAAAAAGTTTATTGCGTTACCAGATAATGAATATCTTTATGTATTTATTTTTATAACAGTATTAAGTTATATTGTCTAATGTTACCAGGGGATCGTGAGGAGTTCTTGTTACCAGATCGTAATAAGTATGTCAATATGGATCGCCACTTCTTGAACAGTTACATGAAGCTTGTCGTGGGTACATGTCACGCTAGAGGTGCTCCAGCCACCGGCGGTATGGCGGCCGCCATGCTGAAACCTGGGTCCGACGTTAATGACAAAGAGTAAGCTTTTCTCATTCTTTTAAAACAAATGGCTTTTAATTAGAGTATTACTCTAAGTTTATCTAGTTAGTTTTTATTAAAAAGCAAATAGTGTCTACCCCTACATTAAGATTTTTCCTGGGTTGTGGGTGCGTGCGTTTACAAACATATAAGAACACTACTTCCGCGCAGTTTCACATGCTCTGCTCAGCTCCTATTGGTCGAAGCGTGATGTTTTATAGCCTATAGCCATCCTCGATAAATGCGCTATCCAACACAAAAATAATTATTCAAATCAGACTTAAAGTTACGGAGATTAGCGCGTTCAAACAAACAAACAAACTCTTTCCTTTTATATAATAGTATAAGATATAAGATAGTATAAGATAATACACATCACATCCAGACCCAAGACAACAATTTGTGGACCAGATAAAGAGTTATCCCATGCAGTAGGCAGATGCCTAGTCAGTGCAGGCGGAGCATTTTTTTAAAAGTACAATTTCATAAAAAAAAATCCTTGAAATGAAAACCTAAGTTTCATTTAAAAAGTAATAAATCTTTAGAGGATGGTGGTGGTCTCTTGGAAGGTGCAGGTAACAAGTAGGCTTGGACTTACATACTTATGAATATGGAATTTATTATTTCAGATCTAAAGTTATAATAACGAAGATACTGGCTGCAAAACTGAAGGAGATAGAATGTGGTGTTGATGGGTTCATGGTCTATGATGCAAGAGTAGTTCCTCAAATTAACGAGGTCTGTATAAATAATATATGTATAGATATATAAATAGTATTAGCTATACTATTTGCATTTTACAAAGTACTGTAGTCAGTGTACTCTCTAATTTAAGGGAATATTTAAGACTATCATATGTATGTACCTACATAAATATTAATAACTAACTTAGCCTTTTTCGATAAGTTGATACCTAAATAGAAAATTCAACACAACAAATAATTAACATTCAAACCAATAGTTACGAAGATTATCACATAAGGCTCTAAAATATCACGCTACGATGAATAGGAGCCGAGCAGAGAAGTAGCCAATTGATAATGAGGGCCACGGTCTAAAATTACACCACGATGCGTACTAAGTAAGGACATAGGGATTCTATCCCTAATAAAACTAACAGTAACAATTCAAAATAAATTATACTCGAGACTACCTTCACAAAAACAAATAGAACAATCTTTTTTGTTCGTACCTTAGCGTAACAATTGCTAACTTCACGGATAATAGGTACCTACTTACCAAGTAAATTACAAATATTTTTTTACTCAAACTAATTTTCATTGTACTGATGGAAATTTTTCAATGTCATCTTGCTTTCCTATTCTATTGTGTAGGTATTTTATAAAAGGTATGGTGACAAGCAGGTCTGTCAAATGTAGGTACTTCAATCTGTTAATTCTTTCATTGGATTTTCGACTTAATATCAAATGTATATAATACTAGCTTCTGTCCGCGACTTTGTACGCGCAGTCCCGTTTTTCCCGTTTCCGTAGGATTTTCAGGATTTTTTCTTTCGTAAGAACCTTCTCCTGAGAATAACAAACACAAATAAAAAAGATCAGCCATATCGGTCTAACCGTTCTCAAGTTATGGCGTGACAACGGGAAACGGGTTTCATTTTTATAATATACTAGCGACCCGCCCCGGCTTCGCACGGGTGCAATATGCATGTATTATACATACAAACCTTCCTTAAGAATCACTCTATCTATTACAAAGAACCGCATCAAAATCCGTTGCGTAGTTTTAAAGATCTAAGCATACATACGGACATACAGCGAAAGCGACTTTGTTTTATACTATGTATTGATATTGATATAGATATAGATGTAGTTGAAAATCTAAAAAAGGAAATTGGCAGAAAAGTACTGGCAGGTCAACCTACTTAGATTGACCTGCCCTTAGCTACCTGGTACTTATTGGCATAACTAGTACGCCATTTTGAATAATTTATATCTATTTGCAGCTCTGGAAGAAAAGCGGTGCCACACCAAACCAGATATGTAAAAAATTTGAAGTGAATGTAACAGCTCAGGATCTACTGTCTATACCGCGGGACGGTGTGACGTTGCAAGGCCTGAAACACAACGTGGCTATCTCCATACTCTTCATCTACTACTGGTTAGCCGGCATCGGACATTTCTTCTACAGCGGCAATGTGGAAGATTCTGCAACTGCAGAAATATCCAGATTCCAAATCTGGCAATGGATACGTTTCTCTGTAAGTTGTGATATGAATAGCTAGTCGTGGAATAGTCATTTTGGATAGTTCTTCACAGCTCCTCCCCCGTAGGTGATAGCGTAATAATATATGGCCTATATGTTGACCTGGCCTACAAGTAATATTCATGCAAAAGGTGAAGTTAATCCATGCAATACTTTTTGAGTTTAGCCCGGACATACATACAGACTAAAATTTTAACAACTATATTTTTTACTTCGATATCAATTGGTGATCTTGGCTTGGGGTGTCCAAGCATTCTTTTAAAAAATATTCTATGTATATACAGTTTTGACTTTCCTACGATTTTATTATACCTATGTCTATCTATATATAATTATAATAAAATCGTAGGAAAGTCAAAACTGTACATTGAATATATTTTTAATGAGTAGGTACTTACTTGGGATGTGATCAACAATCGATATCGAAGTTAATTTTTTTGCCAAGCGTAGAGGTTATGGCAAACGCATCTTTTGTAGTGGAGGCCTATATTCCAGAAGTGGACTCTCAGTGGATAATGATTGTAAATGTAAATAAATTACTTTTCTTAATGAGTTAAAATACTTATGTTAAGTTTGGAGTACTGTAACTACCTAATCTACATATTATTGTGTATGACCTATACCGGCTAATAACACAAAGATTGACTAATCACATTTTCTTGCAGCCACCATTAGAAGATGATCCTAAGGTGCATGTAACTGCGAAGTTAGTTGAGAAGACTGCGGCGAGTTTCGCTGCGCATGCGCATAAGAACCTTTGCCGGTCGAATGCTGAGCGCAAACGCTTGACCGCTGCTAGATACATGTGTATGGAACTGTTCCTAAGTAGGAATCCTCCAGAATTTATAACAAGTTATCTAAATGATAATCATAAATTCAGAACATTGCACAACAAGGCTCTTTTGAGCAATTTGTGAAAGAATAGCTGTATGAATTACTCGCTATGGTTGCCTCCTAATTATTTTTGTATGAATAATATTATTTCGAGTTCCTCGTCAAATAATTACGTGAGTAAATCCAAAAACGGAATAATACATATTATTATGTTAGGTAACCTTCATTCCCCTATCGATTTTTGCTACTTATATGTGGATAACTTTGCCACGTTTATTAAGAAATGCTATTATTATATAAGTCAAACCAGATACTAGGTATCTTTAGTAGCTAAATCTACCAAAGTATAGATAATATTACAATAAAATTCATTTTAAAGCTCAATCGATATCTCTTTATCATACTAACAAATGTATCAGTTTTATAAAAAACCGTTTTATTATATATTGAAACTTACTACATTTTACTGCGACTTCGTTTGCCTGGAATTTAGAAGATCCTGAAAGAATATTAAGTTGAAAACTGTCTGGTGATGGATCGTTAGAAATTGGTCCAGTAGTTTTGGAACCTGTTCAATAAATACAAACAAACTCATTCCATTTTATAATATTAGTATAGATGATATTGCAACATACCAAATATTTAAGAACACAAAGATATTTTTTTTTTTCTACAATTTAGTCTTCTATGGGCATCTGTGATATAACTTTTTGGTTTATTTACATTGTTTACGGCATGTTAATAAAAATATTATGGGTTCATCTTGTTTTTATTTCATACTAGATCCTGTCCGCGATATCGTACGCGCATTCCGATACTTATTACCTGTTCCCGTAGGATTTTTGGAAAATCCTTAGATAAAATGTAGGTATCATAATCCCGTCGGTTTCTTCCCCTCCCCTCCCCACCAATTTTCAGCCAAATCGATTTAGCAGTTCTTCGTTATATTTATAGTGTAATTAAAACGAATTTATTATATATAGGTACATACATAAATAGAAGATAATAAATTAGCCAATTTAACCCATTTATGACCAACCGGTGACCGCTCTCCACTAACTAAATTATAGACCTTATTTCCGATGTTTAGAGACTACTTTTGTATGAACAAATTTATGGGATGATATTTCAACAGGTTAACACGTTAAACGCCATGGGGGTCACCGGTGACCATCGTTAGCGGAGGATTTACCTTCAACAGTTTTTTATTGGCAGTCAGTCTTAATACTGTTCTAAGGTACCTATAAGATCTAATTCTAACTAAGGAATTAGGGTTATTGTTTGGCCTTTATAATAATATTATATATTTTTAGGTTAACTTGAGGCCTTTCAATTAAGTCGGAGCCTGAATAAAAAACAAAACAGTCTTTGTAAATGATTTTATTTCCTCAACACTTTTAATCAAAAAATATTGAATATATTTAAACTTAATATTCGGTTTACCAGCGGAACAAGTGTACATAGTTCAAGCAATTTGACTGTTAATTGTAAACTATATATAATTAAAGCAAATATTAGGTGTTACTTTATTATGCTTAACATTCAACTATAATTCAGGCCATTTATGCATTATTTAGTTACACTTTTCTATATTGTACAATGGCCAGCAGGTCAAAATACTCCTGTGTTTTCTTTAAGATTATCAACTTAATTGTTTTAACATTAAGTTGAGCATCCAATGAAAAAATGACCCATCCTGGACAGTCGTGTGTAGAAAGGGTGCTCAGAAAAAGCTAAGTACATAGTAGAGAGTTGTCAGCACTATTCTTAATAAAAATATCATGATTAAATTCGCCTACTGAGTAATAGACCAATTTCTTTTTTTTTTTTTTTTGCAAAAACAAGAAATGTGATTTTATTTTAGCGAAAAAACAACACCACTCAAATTGCAGCACGCAGACTTTGAAATTGGAACAAGTATTTATAGTTACGTGCTAACCAACTAGTTTGTTCCGAAAACTATAATTTCACTATACATATAATCAAGAATACACACATTTCAGTTATAACATTTTATAATTATGTTCACGACGAATAACACCGTAGATTAAACGATTTAGAGTACTCGCCTTAACGAAATCTTACAGTTCAAACAACAAAGTTTAACATGCTGATAATTTAATTTACAATTTTAGGCTATAACAGATAATTATACATCCATTACACATATTGTATATATAATTATATATCTATCTAATAAATTCAAGTGTAGATTATGTGTGTTACAAGATAGAATACAAAAATACATAATTATTTTCAGTTACACTTTGCACTACTTACAAATACACATATAGGAATATATAGGAAACAGCAATATTAGTTTGTATATTGCACTAATAAAAAATAGATCTGTTTTTTCGACATTTCAATAATTTGTGCTAACTACACTATTTTATGATTAGTGCAATATTTAATGTAATAATAACATCAAACAATGACATAGTCAATAGACAATTACTACACACATATTTATGGATTTCATCAATTCCTCATTAACATTAGCTGCAAGGGTTTTGCACTAAAATGAGGTGAACCGATTTATACTTAGGCCAAGATCAATGTGAAATGTTTATACACAGACTGTAGGGTAGAACCACGTTTCTTGTATTTCTCCAAGAAGAATCATAGACCCATTCTATTTAATGATAATGATTTTGAGTGATAGGAGGTGTTCTTCAGAGCAGCCATTCATTTCTACGTTTATGGTTTGTTTACAAACTTTTTACATAGATCTTAGCCTTTTTTTTATTTTTTCCTCTAAATCTGAGTCGTTTCTGTTAATGGTCAGTCCTTAAGAGATATGTCTATAACGTACAGCAAACAAGACTATACTATCCATTTCATTATTCGTAAATAAATTATTTATGAAACCGACCAAGTACTGGACTGAAACAGATATAATTTTTTGGATAATGAGTATACACACCATATAACAGAGGGTGTGTCTATTGCCAAACATCGTGCATAATTCCAAACTGAGCTATCATTGAGAATTTTTGAAATTCTAACATTTTTAATATATATCTGGCAGTTGCTCTTGGGGGCGCTCGATCCATGAGACAGTTGTAAAATAAAATAACATCATTATTGTTCTGTTATTGTTACTACTGCACTGTACTGTTAATATAAATTGATAATTAATTAGTCTTTAGCCATGTTCGCACACAAAATCAGCACTCGCCATAAGAACAAAAATCATTTTTTTATTACAGTTCTTAGCCCACGTTCGCTACGCGCGTTAGCATGTGAACGTAATGTCATACATATCGTCGGTTAAATAGAAAAATAACGTAATTCATTCAGTACAGTAAGGACAAATTTCATTAAAATTCGTTGAATCGCAATTACATTTGCGACATCTAGTGAGTTTAGCGTGAACTATACTATCGTTTTTACATAACTATAAAATAATGTTGTTATTAGACATGTTATGTAATAATTTCAAATAAAATAAAAAATACCATTTTTTCATTTCATCGACGATAAGTAGTGGTAAGCGCGTGTTATCAAAACGCACGCTTAGCGCCTACCATGTGAACATAGCCTTAGTTTTCTTTCATCTCATCATTTGAATATTACTAAATTGACGAGATTGCAATTTTATATTACATAATAAATTAATGACTAAGGAATGGGTATTCAGAGGTCTGTTTGTTTGTACAAAGAGTATATTATGTACATAAGAACGAAAATATCTTTATAACATAAGAAGAACTAGTTGTTTATAACAATGCAAGGTATCTTTGCCTAACAAACCAAGTTTAGTTACTGGATGGATATTCTCGCCTTTATAGGTTTACAATTTGATAATACAATAAATTGAAAGGGACAATTTCTTTGTGACATAAAATAGAGACATGATATTATAAATATAATAATTAATATTCACATATAACATCACGCCCTTTATCCCCGAAGGGGTAGGCAGAGGTGCACATTACGGCACTTAATGACACTGTACAATGTAACACCCGCTTTTCACTATTTTTATGTTATAAGTCCCTTGTAATATGGAGTGAGTCTATTGCCATATACCGGGCACAATTTCAGACTTCGTGCTACTACTGAGATTGTTTTTTAAAACCCAGTAATACTTTGCCCGATCCGGAAATCGAAACACCAACGAGGCAGTTATATAATAAATAATATGTAATAAGTCCCATTGGAGAGGTATATGTCTAGCAGTGGACGAGAACAGGCTATTGATGAGATGAGAATACGTCCCGTAACACGATAACAGTTCAATCATGATTTTTTGAAATGAGTATCGACAATAAGAATAGGTTATAATACTGAAAAATTTTCACTGTTGTGTCTAAAGGGAAAATTGTTCAGTTTCATAGCCTGCACATACACTATTCTGTTGCACTTTATGTATAGCTTCTTATGTTATTAGGTACAATTACTATGTTAAATTTACTTGCTACGAGACCGTGCACCTGGAGCTCTGCTCACCCCCGACCCTTTGTCGAGCGAGTGCACGCGCAAAGGCCGTGTCTCGTGCTTGTAAACTAGTGTTCTCTTCTTGCATAGACATCGCTAAAGCGCGCGCCAACGCCTCATCTTCAGTCTGTAACAAAGGTAATTACATTACTTATGTCAAAATACTCGCAACGTCAATTTTAAGTCGCGCCTAAGAATAGTTCTGTCACTACAAATTCTTTGTAAAAAAAATGACAGAGATGGCACGATATTTAAGTGCATATTGAGTAGCCTCAGTAATCTGGTAATATTACACGAATGAACTATTCAAGAATAGCTCGACTAATTTCAAATCACACCAGGACGCTAGTACTCTAGTACATGAGCAGCGCGCGACGCGGCGATTAAAAATACATTGTTTAATATGTTCTTATATTACAACCTGACAGGCAAGGAAAACTGTCTTATAGTCCTGTATTGAAGCTAATTTCTCATTCAAAAGAGTAAATTGATATACAGAACAAATAGGTTTGACACTATGTATTGTCTTTTTCTATGAGTTTTTATTTATGAACAGAGAAAATAGATTAGATTTATTATCTAAAGACATAAATAGTTACAGATAAGAGATCGCCAATTTCAATTGAAATCTAAAACGTTATTACTTACCATGTTTCCTTGTACTTCGGAGAAGGCTGTAACTTTTGCCGCAACTGGCGCGTGTGTCATTTTATTTTCGGCCGCTTTCATCCTAGCCATAGCTGCTTCACTAAAAACGTCATAAAAATATATTAATTTCAATTGCCTTCTTATTAGATATCTTGATCAACATTTTGTTTTTTCAGATAAAAGTAAGAAATAAGGTTTTTGCTTGTCTTGGGACAAAAGTATGTCAACCGTACTTTTCTGTCAAATTTCTTTATTACATTTTCAATTTTACTATTGTGACATAAAGTCGAAAATTCAACGGAAACAGTTTTAGATTAGAGTGTGTTGGCCTGCTAGCCACTGTACATAGACTCATCCTGACGTCCCTGGGCAAGCAGGAACCATTTTTCTTTTATATTATATGTCTAAAAAGGATATTGTTAGTATAATCTACTGTTTCAGAGAAAAACAGGTGAGTTGCATTATCAATTTCTTGTTGTTGTTGATGGTTGTAATGAAATATAGAGATACTTACGCTGCCTGTCTTCTCTTGGCAGCCAGCTTGCCCTCGCAGGCGTGGTCGCTGCCGTGTCGATGTCGAAGGCAGAAGTTGAGTGAGCACTCGCTGCAAACAAGCGGCACCATTTCTTTGTTCTTGCATCCTTTGAATGTGCACCGGTTTGTGAAGACCTGTAAATTATCATTATACATATTATAATAAGATTAGTTTTATAAATTGGGTGCTGCAGTTTCCTAGACAAGACACTCTTTTGGAGAATGACAAGTGAATCTCAATTTGTATTTGTGTCTCATAAACTGAATTACCATCACTCACTATGTTTCACTTGTTTCACACAGACCGGTGATATTGTAAAAACAGACTGAGGGACTTTACATTTGACAGAGTCCAGCCAGCAATACTGATAATATTTTTTTTTAAGTATCCCCAGTACACTCTTATTTTCTCCTGTGTTGTGGGTGCATTTACAAACATACAAGTTCACATACACATGACACCCAGACCCCGAAACAACAATAATAATATGTGGATCACACAGTGTTGTTTCGTGCGGAAATCGAACCCGCGACACGCTGCCGGGCAGCCGGCCGGCCCAGTCACTGCAACAACTGTACAGTCAGAAATTTTTATACTGCAATCTTCAACCTGCATGGTTTTTATGGCACATACTCACATGTGGGTACTTTAGCCGTTGTTAATATTAATCAGAATTTTTAACTCGTCGAGTACCGTCATTATAGCCACAATTATAGAACAATAGGTTGCGGTCACCGGTGACCGCTTGGTGTTTGACAGTTTAAAACAGCCTGTCTTTATGATACTGCAGATATATGACCAAAGGACTTAAAAAAAATATTGTACTCACTTTTCTCCGCCTTTCCACAGCTGGGTCTGAAGTGCATTGGTTATCAATATGAGTTCCAACAGCAACATCTGGTGGCTCTCCTCTTTTTCCTGGCACAGGTTTACCACATAAAGGGCATTCTGGAACCTGGACGTTCTGTCTATCCGGTGCTGGACATTCATGCTTTGTGTACGCAAAGTGGTCAGAACTGTAAATAATTGTATGGTTTAATCAGACAAGATCTTCGTGGTGAGATCAGTTAGTTAAAACTCATTGTTATTGTTTAAAAAAATAATATTTATTATTATCATTAGTTGAAATGTATGTATAGCACACTAGATAATTGCACAGCCAGAGCTCATTGCCACCCATGAAATAAAATTTTATTTAGAACATAATGACAATACATCAAATTATGCTAATTGAATAATATTCTACAAAACTTATTGTTCATAAAAATATCGCAGTTAGCATGGATGTTGGAATTGTGGTAGCTACATGTGAAATAACTGGGGAATAGAAAATTTACTAAATATTGCAAAACTTTATGAATAACACAGTGTGTTACATTTATAGCGAGTGTAACCTTTTAAAACCATTGAGATAAAGCATTGTACAGAAAAAAATTTAAGTACCTAGCTCAAATAAATTGAATAAATTATAGTTATGATATCATGAACATTTATCAAAATGTGAACTGAATACAGTAGTAAGTAAATAAATACCTAAGGCCAAAATGTGGTTGAGATAGATAACAAGAACCGGTGCACTTCATGACAGTTAATACTCATCCAGAACATTTATTTTATTATGGTTTGAAATTACACATTTTACCAATAATAGGAAATATATATCATTAAATAACATTGAATAGAATAAAGGAAAAGTATAATTTTGTATTAAAAATGTAGAATAAGAAATGTATTTTCCTGTTTTTATATTTACCTTGTAAAACTTGAAGTGGTTTTTTACTCTAATTAGAAGTGTCTATGCAGTCTGAATTTCTCGAAAAACATTCAAGTTCAAAATGGATACTACTAGACTTATCTTAATGAAACTTGGTACAATAATTATATCAAGGTCTAATGTGTTAGTGAAAACATTTCTGATTTTTTAAGTAAGCAATTATATGGTGTTATATGTTTGTATGGAAACTTAAGATTTATAAACTAAACTTTAAGTATTGGCGTTTTTCTTTCTCAACACATTTACAGCTTTTTATAAATTTATGCTAATATGAACATAATCAGCCTAATAATTGTAATTATAATTAACATTACATTCTAAGAAGTTTGACCTCAAGATCACTCACCAGAACATTTCTTTACAACCTCCACATTTATAGGGCAGGAAGTCTGAAATAAAAGAAATACTTGGTTGAAAATCGTAGAACAAAACGCCCAAATAACAAAGAACAGATGTTTAATATTTTAAAGGTTTATACTTAATTGCGTAGGTTGAAGACATAAAACTTTTAAAAAGCAGTTGTTCTATAATTTACTTTACAAATAATATCGATTCTTTTTCTTAAAACTAATGGTTTATTTACTTACCTAGTTTATTGCATGATTTGTATGAACAATTCTTTCCAATGTGAGGGAACTCCATTATTGTAGCACTGAATAATTAACACTTATGTTCACAAATGGTACTCCACAAGAACTTCTCTGTCAATGATGACGACAAAAATTTGTTAACACTTTTATATTCCGTTTGTTGCAAAAGTATTACAATACGTTTTATTCGTCATCCACTGACAGTCAATGATGAAACGACATTTTTCTTTGAAAACATGCATTTACGAATATCGATACATATTTTTGATGTTTTCGAGAATATTCGGATGTTTTTAAAATCATTACATGGCTCTTATATAAACTTGGAGTCTTCAAAACTGTAAACTTGACTTTATATCATAGATGAATAATAGCTTTATATAACTTGATGTAAGTATAGATTCTTTAAAATTTCGCAATTTTTCTTTCATTTTTAATTTCACACAAAATGACATGACTCTCTTCACAAACACCGCTGTTTAATGTCATGTCATTTGTGGACTCCGTTTCACGCATTAGCTAATGATCTAACGTTTTACGTGGTACGTTTATTTTACGTCCTCCGTATCATACTTATCTCTCGAAAATAAGACTGTTCCATCTGTCAATAATAAGAACAGTAAATTACAATAATACTATTTGTGTTTCTGGCTTTAAACACGGTGTTCATTTTTTCGAATAGGCTGAATACATCTTTTCATTGCTACCACGTGAACAAATAAGGCTAGAAATATATTGGCGGAGCCCAGCGATATTTCTCCGGTTTCATACATTTAATAGATACCATGGTCGAAGCGTGAAATACTGATAAATTATGATCGTGTAACGGCGTATTGCGTAAGTAGTCAAATGCTTAATGCAAAACCTTAATCTCGCCGATTGATGACTACGACATGTAAGTGTATCACAGCTTTAAAAAGCAAATGTCAGAGTGTCAATGTCACGAACGTCACTTTCGACCTGAGCGACGACACTGGGACAGCTTGTAATAGTTTTTAATTTTAATTAAACCGATAAAAAAGAATAAAGTGATCCTAATAAAAAGGATCACTGAAAACACTGGGCTTTCTAGAAGAACTAATATCAAAAATGAGTAAAATTATTCCTTCCGTCGCTAAGCTTCTGGCCGGTAATACGGTTACGGTGGGTCTTTCGTGGGATTTTTAGCTATTATCTATTATAAATTTTATATGTGCTATTAGAATACATTCAACAAGGTCAAACAATGTATACTCAATATATTTTTTTCATTTTAGAAAGTGGGTGCCCCAGTTGCTACGACTTCTAGTGCAAAATACAGTACGAAGAGTGAAGCTTCATTTGAAATCAAGGTAGCTTTAATTTAAGATCAATTACTATTTAAATTGTGTTAGGCTAATTTATAGTGGTGCGTACAACGTGGTTCATGAACGCCGGCCGTTATTTAATACGAATCAAAATATAAACTGGTTAGTTTTCCAATTATGTAACCTAACCTTCATATGTCAAGTGTAACGATGTTTTGTTGTCAGTTATCGGCATTAAAGCCCTTATTGCTCACGAAATAGAGGTGTAGTGAAGGTTAAAATTTTACTGTGAGTTCAGGGGTACCTGAGTAAAATGAAAACAAATTGAGTACCTATAGTTGTTCGAGCTACACTTCCAATCCATGCACATTGAATAGTTTACTTTTTGAAGAATCATTCATAACTTAAATATTATGTGTTATTGAATTAAATTATGAAACAATACGTAGTTTCATAAGTCCCTGGTTAAAATTAGTACATAATAGTATTATTAGTATTAAACTGTATAGTTTTTTATCTTTTTCTATTATTTCTGTTCTATTTCTATTCTAACAATTTCTTATTACAAAGATTGTGAGACCCGCTGCAAATTTAATGTTGTGAAAAGTGAACACTGAAGTAAAGTTCCGCAATTTCTTATTACTTTATTTGACAATAAATTGCATATAATTTAACTAAGTTTCTTTTTCAATAGCCTTTCAAACTCCATAAATTGGAGAAAGGACCTGCCACAACAGCTACCCTAACAAGTGAAGATGCCCTCAAACTGTATGAGCAATTGGCGATTCTGCGTCGTATTGAAACCGCTTCAGGCAACTTGTACAGGGAGAAGATCATCCGTGGTTTCTGTCACTTATACTCAGGTAAATATTAAAATATAATTGAGAACTAGTCACATATATTATAGTAAAATGTTCGAAATGAAATTGCAATAGGCTCACCCCCTATAACATTGTACAGTGGCATTAAGTGTCGTAATGTGCACCTCTTCCTATCCCTTCAGGGATAAAAGGCATGATGTTATGTTGTCTTTTTCAAAGTGCATTGAGAGAGAGAGCCTTAACTTCATCCAAACTTTACCATAAGTAAATTATTAAGGAATGTTATAGACATGAAAAGATTATTGTCATTTGTAGTAGAACTGGCAGTGGAAGTATCGGTACTAAAGATTGTATTACACAATACTATAGTCCAATAATAATAGAAAATTATGATACATGCATATATTTGAATAGACTGCGTAAATTAATAAATAATTAAGTAATAATAATAATAATAATTATGTATTTCTTGTTGAAATGTTCAGGTCAGGAGGCTGTAGCCGTGGGAATGCGCGCTGCGATGCGAGATATAGACACTGTGATCACTGCGTACCGATGCCATGGCTGGACCTATCTAATGGGTGCCAGTGTGGTTGGTGTACTTTCGGAACTTACTGGCCGCAGGACAGGAGTATCACGAGGCAAAGGAGGCTCTATGCATTTGTATGCAAAGAATTTCTATGGTGGCAACGGCATTGTTGGAGCTCAAGTAAGTGTAGTCCTTTAAAAGTCATTAATTTCTATTAGACTAGAAAGGCAATTTTGAAAGTCAACAAATCCATACACTTTTTTTCAATCTGGTTCACAATATTTAATTGTTGTTTGGATGTAGCAAGATTTGTGATAATTACTCATAAGAGTTGTTAACATAATTTTATACTATTATAATAACAATAGAGTTTCTTAATTTACCTACTCTTAAAATGTTATGAGTATTCCATTGCTTCTTTTTATCCTTTTTCTAAGGCATTGGTATACCTGTTACTTTAACGAATAAATCTAATAACAGACTAAATAATAACTCATTAACAATTGTCAGGTGCCGTTGGGAGCTGGTATAGGTTTCGCGCACAAATACAAAGGCGATGGCGGAGTAAACTTTGCATTGTACGGCGACGGTGCTGCGAACCAAGGACAGTTGTTTGAAGCCTACAACATGGCCAAACTGTGGGACTTACCGTGCGTGTTCGTCTGTGAGAACAATGGATACGGTAAGAACTAAGATAAACAAACCTCGTTTGTGCTGAATGCCTATTCATTATTGTTATCTTTGTGTTCATTTTTCACTGATTCATCGATGATTTACGGACGGAATTTTTATCGATATTCATCAAAAATTCTATCTAGGATTTTGACAGAAACTCAAGTAAAGGGCAATTGATCTTAATTAAAAGATGTTGGATTGAAATCGATTAATAATATCGGCCGTTTTGATTAAGCCATGTGCAAAAACTGGTTTCAATTAAAAAGCAATGGAAAATTAGTTCATGAGCAGCGGCTGCACAGTCGTGGATTTTGGAAGATTTCTCAAGTAGGCCCCAATCCTCTAAACATATCGAGATAAAAATGTCTAAATGCCTATGTTGCTTCCTTGAATATATGCATTCCAATGACGAAAGAAATTTTCAAGTCCAGTCCAGGTCCAGTAGTTTCAGAGCCTATTCAATGTACCTAAAGAAACAATAAAAATTTTATATAGATTCACGAAAAAACGTATGAGTAGGTAGATATTAATTTAAATACGTAATATGAAATGAATCTTGGTTAAAATTACTATCATTTAGTTATGACATTTGTTTATGAACATGTATCTAAGAAATATTCTCATTCGACCTTAATTTCACCTTCAAGGCATCTAAATGATAAAGTTGATTAAATTGTGTTCTAGTTTTATTTTATTACATTGTTGAAAGTGTAGAATCGAAGGTAATATTGTAACACCACGCCTAATGAACAGCAGAGGGGCAGACACAGTCTTTCCGAGAGCTTTTCGTCTCTTCATTGTTAGTAGATTATATAGACACAAGTATATTTTTACCACTTGTCCACCATCTACCAGGCACAATTTTAGGCTACAGTGTAGTACTACTGACAAATTTTTGAAAAACCGAAATCATGTCATTACTCATTGCCCGAATCACATCTCTTGGTCAGTAGTCGACTCGACCTCGAAGGTATTCATTGCAATATTTACGGTAGTATACTTTTTAAACAAAATTCTTTGGCGAATTCCTTATCCACCGAGCGTTTTGCATTTGGTCGCTTGCGCCGAGTGCATGCGAATATAGCTTAATGATGGTCGAACACCAACTTTGATTGTACTTATTCTAGTGCTGAATATACTGCCCTGTTAGTAATAGATCTGTTTACAACTCACTTCTTCCTGCTACGGCATAAAATCGTCGCACGAACACGGTACGATTCACGTAGATGGCATGGCAAACGATTCTATACTCTATTACTTACTACTTTGGTATTAAAACTGAAGCTCCATTGAATGTATTTGATGGTTTGATACTCGTTTCCGAGCAATTTGAATTATTATTTGTATGGAGTAAAAGTGCTATTTTCTTTGTTGGTTCCAGAAAGGTTTCAATTAATGAGAAGTTTTAAGTGTATTAATTAACCGACATCAAAAAAGGGGATTAAAGTCGGTTTTAAAACGTAGTTTATAAAATAATTTTTATTTTCTTCTGTAACCATGTATGTTATGATTTATTTATGACCTACAAGCTTCTGCCCGCGACTTCGTACGATTAATTTTTATATATATAGATTTGTATTATGTAACAATGAATCCGAGTTATCAACGTTTTTTCTTGTTATCATAAGAAATGTTTGGCTAGACATATTTATCGCAGTTTCAATTGATGTGATACAATGTATGTAAAGCACATTATTTCATTTGTTATCTAAACTCGTTAGTAGCACAAAATGATGTAAATAATGTTTGTAAATCATTTAACCGACTTAATTTTCATGAGCTAGATGAGTACATTTATTCTGTAGTTCTATCTTAATCTAAATGTGTCTGGATCGATCTAAGTTTTTAAACAAAACTACTTGTATTGTCTTTGCCTTATGTTTTTTTAAAACGTTACCCCACCCTAGGATTTTCTCCTGTGTCGTGGGTGCGTTTACAAACATACAAGTTCACACCATACCCAGACCCGGAACAACAATTTGTTACTTACAAATCACTTATGTCACAAATCGATCTCAATTCACAGATTTTGTATTGAGGTCCTACTTATTTCAGCCGATATCTATTATTCATCACTTAAACTGTTAGTAGTAGTAACACTTCAACTGCTGATTTGATCGATGCAGTGTTACTCTCCCCCTCGTCTACGGGCCTGTAGCAATAGCTTCTCTGACTTGGCACTGAATTGTAGAATGACCAAATCTTGGTAATTCATTCTCATATCATAGTGCTCGACAAGGCGGCGCCTTACCTTCAGTATACTACACCACCTTTCTTTTACTTATGTTAATGTTACATATAACTAAATAATTAAAACATAACATCAGCATCATCATCCGCAGCAGACATTAACATAAGACATTTTATGTTTCCTTTCACATTTAGTCCTGTCCAGACATTTAAAACTCGTAAATTTCCGATTATAAAATATCCACAACATTTGTTTATACAAAAATAGTCTCTAAACATCGGAAATAAGGTCTATAATGGAGTTAGTGTGACCGCTCAGGGATTGATCAGATAATGTCGTGGTGGCCCAGAGGTTAAGAGTTTTTATGCATGAGGGTGCGGAACTTAGCAATGGTAACTACCAATGTGACTTTTTCCGAGTTACATGTACTTTCTAAGATAATTCAGATACTACCGACAAGCGGTGAAGGAAAACATCGTGAGGAAAGATTGAAATCGCCAACCCGCAACGAGCAAGCGTGGTGATTAATGCTCAAATCTTCTCCGTGGGAGAAGAGGCTTTGCTCAGCAGTGATCACTTATAGGCTGATTTTATGTTTCCTGCACCTTCTCCATCACATTGGCTTGCGCAGTTAAATACATGAATAATAGTAATAAATATGTGTCCTACAGGTATGGGAACAAGTATGGAGCGGGCGTCAGCCAGCACGGACTACTACTCGCGCGGTGACTACATCCCTGGTATCTGGGTGGACGGCATGGACGTGCTCGCTACCAGGGAGGCGACCAAGTTCTGTATCGACTGGTGCACTAGTGGGAAAGGTATGTATTCTAGAGTGAAACAACGTTTGCTTTGTGTGAAAGAGGTCATCGGAGGCCGCCCAATCTTATACTCCTTATTTTATGCTTATCATATAATAAACCTGAAGAGTTTGTTTGTTTGTTTGAACGCGCTAATCTCCGGAACTACTGGTCTGTTTTGAATAATTATCTTTGTTTTCTCGAGAAAGGCTATAAGCTATAAAATATTACGCTGCGAACAATAGGAACTGAGCAGAGCGAGTGAAACCACACCGAAGTAGCTAGTCTTCTACAAAGGTGGCTGATGATTAACATGTTTGATCTCGTATCGGCAGGTCCATTAGTAATGGAGATGGAAACATATCGTTACTCCGGCCACTCTATGTCGGACCCTGGCACCTCATACCGTACGCGCGATGAGATCCAGGAAGTCCGTCAAACCAGGGATCCCATCACCTCTTACAAAGACAAGATTCTGAGCAACGAACTCGCAACACCTGACCAACTTAAGGTAAAATGTACTTTAATGCTATTGAAATTAAGTTTATTTCAAATGATATTTGCATAGTGGTGAAATTTGGGAATAGTGAAGTGAGTTTGTTTTGATTCATAAAAATATCCGATAGCTGAATAAATCCCGAGCTATCTTGTTCAGAATTAGAAATTGCCGCCAAAATTATTATATTTTTATTCTGATTTTTTGTGTAATTATGTTCATAGGAAATCGACGCAAAAGTACGTCAAGAAGTTGACGACGCTACAAAGCAGGCGAAGGCCGAGCCTGAGATCGGTATCGAGGAGCTAGCTGGAGACATCTACGTCGACTGCATTGACCCTGTCATCCGAGGCGTAATCCCTAACGCGCCCCTACAACACATCTCCGTCGCTCAACGCAATTAGATTGCTATTACTAAGGAAATTAGGTCTGTTATCCACTGCAATATGCTCCACTTCACCCAGTGAGATTAGCAAGTTAAGTATAAACTTTGATTATTATTATTTTTTTTTATATTTTGTAAACATATTTTTAGTATGCGTTGCAATGTTATATTTTGTATTTTGCACATTGAAACGTATAATCAATCACCCGACAAATTATTTTTTCAAATAATATATGATTTGTATCGTTTCTATTGACTTTTTAAGCGTACAACATTTGTGGAACATATTGTATGGGATTGAGGCTTTTTAGTAATAATTTGAATAAAATCGAATACCGGATTTAGAATCGTAATTAATTGGCAACAAAGTCGCTATTTGGAATAGCGGTCCCGTTAGCCTTTGCTTTTTTAGCGAGTGGTGCTATATTTTTATTGTTAAACAGAAAAATGAGCCACTTTTAATCAAATTATTTATAAAAGCCTCATTTAGCGGCAATTGTAATTTTGTAATAAAGAAATTATGTAGATTGGTATATCCAACGAGGGGATAATAATTGTTAATATTTATACTATTGTTGCGTACCTTACATCATGCACAGGTATATAATTTTATATGTTATTTTTTTAGTAAATCACGTAAGGGAAAGTGATACTGCCGATAATATACCACTTTGTATTATTTTAAAATTCATTTTGATTATTTATTTATAAGGCAGATGATTATTAAAGTTATAACTTATATTTGTTGGGTTTAATTTTCATCCTGATTAACCCGTCGTGTGTCTAAACGTGGCTCCCCGCGAGACACAATGTCTTTTCTATTGTGTCTCATATCGGTGCATTCAAGCGGTTTTTTTTATTATTGCATAAGCCGGTAAACGAGTAGAAGGATCACCTGATGGTAAGCAATCGGCGCCGCCCATGGACACCCGAAACACCAAGGCGTTACAAGTGCGTTATCGGCCTTTTGGGAATTGGGAATTTGAGGATTGTGGAGGATTCGGGGATTCGGGAGACTAGGGATAGGGGTAAATGGGCCTCCGGTAACCTCATTCACACGATGAAACACAACGCAAGCGTTGTTTCACGTCGGTTTTCTGTGAGGCCGTCGGTATCACTCCGGTCGAGCCGGCCCATTCGTGCCGAAGCATGGCCCTCCCACACTTTATACGGTTACGTACTAAGTGTAGGTGGCACTTAATTAATTATTATGTTTTCGGCTTACTCACGTACCTGTTTGACAAGACACTTGCCTAGTTTCAAGCCACGCTAGGGGCTCATATTCAAGAGCAGTATTTCGCGACAGTGCCGCGTCGTGTATAATTTCATTGTCAAACAGTTAGGCGGGAAGTCGAAAACATAATAATTTAGAATATCTCGCGAAACTTATGATATAAACAAAGAAAACCACAAAATACGTCCACAGTATATATTTACCTGTACAACTACATACATTTAAACTTTAATTAGCAAAAACACCAATTATAAATTGTCATGTGGTATAAAAATATCTTTGATCAACAAATTTCATTGATACACTTGAGCATAATTTGGTGATTTGTTTGTACCTACTCTAGAAATGCTAAAATATACAATACTGAAGCAATCGTTAGTAGTTTGTAACAATATACATTAGTAAATAAAAATTTATTTAAAAATAATAATCTTTGGTTACGTTATAGCTTTATAGCCGATATATAATATAGGTACATACACATTCGAAGGCACCATAAAGGCAACGTGTTATAAAAAATATTATGTTTTCATTAAAATCATAAAAAATAAAGTCATACAAAATATGGATACAATGATGATTTGAAGCACGTAGAACGGACATTAATTGTTGCGTGTACATAACCTAAAATATTATAGTTTATAAGCATTAAATATAGCATATAAATAATTTCTTTGGTTCAAACATTTGAAGTGAGCAGACGCAATAATTATGTTAATAGGTATAATACTACTTAAGGAACAATTGTCTTTTATGAAAGGAACGTAAGGGACTAGTTAGGGAATGTCAAGGACCTAGAAGGAATGTTCCGAACACTGTAATTAAGGAAATTAAGTTCGAAGTTCTACATACAGCAATCTTTACAAGATAATTTGCTGGGTACTAGCCAAAGTCATTTATCTATTTTGAATTATACAACCTATAGATTAAGGAGCTGCATATACCCAGGGACGGATTGGATCGGAAGGACCCCCACAGCAAAGGCAATTAGTGGGCCCCGTGGCTGAGTGAAAACTGAAGGGAACTTCATTTTTGTTGTAATGTATGATTCTGTGACTTGGACTATCCACCGCCTCGAAACTATAAGCCCAATCCACCCTGTATAATTCATAATGATTTGACACAAATAAATCACGTTAGCAACAGAATTTATGCCCAAATAATGTTAATTCGAACTAAGTACTCGAAGTACAGGTTACGATTTGGAAAATGTGATTCTAATTGGTCGTTTAAATGAAAATGATTATATGAATGGTCAATAAAGGGGCTCCTGCCACATTAGGTTCATCAGGCCACTGCGACAGGGTGACTGACGACTTTCATCAGTAGTCTACAAAAAAATGTAAGTAAGGAGCTCACTACACGTCGCCTTCTTGAGTTTCTTCCATTTCTTCCGGTATGCCGCATTGAAGTTCATAAAGTCTTGCGTATATGCCATTCTTCTCTATAAGTTCTCTGTGCGTACCAGTTTCGGCGACCACTCCCTTAGCTATAACTACGATCATATCCGCTGTTTGTATTGTGGATAGACGATGCGCTATGATGAGACTCGTGCGGCCTTCGCTGGCTCGGTCTAGAGCTTCTTGTACTACCTGTAGAAAAGTAGTCAAACTTAGTAACAGACAATTCAATGACCAATAAAGACTGGTATTACCTATACAGCTAGACAGGTCCAGTCCAACGGTCACTGGTGACCGCTCTTCACTAACCCCATTATAGACCTTATTTCCGATGTTTAGAGACTACTTTTATATGAACAAATTTTGGGGGTTTTCGGTATGATACCTATATCAAGTGCTTGAGAAATTTTTTATAGAGAAACATTTGGAATTTATTCTCGATACTTATTAACTTATTACCTTTTCGCTGTGTGTATCTAGAGCCGACGTAGCCTCGTCTAACAGTAGCACGCGTGGGTTTCGCACGAGTGCCCGCGCTATAGCTATGCGTTGTTTCTGACCCCCTGACAGCTGGGATGCGCGGGCACCGACACGTGTATTGTATGCCTATATAACAAAGAAGGCTAATTAGTATGTGCGTACATAATAATATGTAAACTAATAAATAATAATGTCTTTTGAACGATTCGCTCAGGCATGGATCCTCAACTGGAATAGATAAGATAGCACGGTTGGCGGGGTGGTTGGGCAACCACAAATTGTTTTTCTGGGTCTGGGTGTATTGTGTGTCAAATTGTATGTTTCTAAACGCATTCACGACACAGGACAAAACACCGTGGGCAACGATTGAAAAAACACTAATCTGTGCAGATTTATGCTGTAAGGCCTTTGTCAAAATAATGTGTAGTCCCGGAAAAACTCGGGAAAAGTAGGGATGGGAGTGTGAGTGATAAATATTTACATTATACCTTGCTGTGCTAATACCACGTTGCATACCTTACGACGCTGAACTCTAAAAAAAATGAAATTATAATTCTATCTACCTACTTACATTAGGCAATGCCGATATAAAGGTGTGAACGTTAGCCTGTTTGGCTGCTGAGACGATTTCTTCAATGGTAACATGCCGCCTATTGTCTCCATAAGCAATGTTCTCTGCGATCGTTCGATCGAAAAGCACCGGTTCCTGTGATACGATGCCAAGGTTCGCCCGTAATGTTGCCAGACGCATATCCGTTACTATATTGTGGTCATCCATATACTGCAATAACAGGAAAATATCATAC